TCCAATAGTTTAAAAGTATCATTTTTGTTATTTGCATTCTAGTTTTAGTTAACTTCAAAACCAACCAAACATTCGATTGCACTTAGATTAAGTTAGTACTTGCATTCTCGGTGCTTTTAAATCCCTCAGAACTGGTTCGACAACTTACTTCCACTATACTATCATTTGACTTAGGAGCCTTGAAAACTCTTAACATCAACACTGTTTATCTTCTTCAACAACCTTATTTTTTTCTCCGATCCTTGCAGTCAAAGCATAACCAATATCATAGTTGTAGTAATCTTTGTTTGAAAGATGATTGTTATTTTTTATTGACGACCTCTATTTCATCCGTAATTATTCTTCTCATAGTCACTTTCTTCATAATCACCGCCGGTGAGATAACTAATATCACTGTTCCGATAATCACTACCGCCACAATATTCACCGCAAGTATTGATCATACCTTTTTTTTTTCAATTATTGGCAACTGGCTTAAAAGAAGGACCAAACCGGAAAAATGTTGCACAAATGCTATGAGATCTAATAACGTCAAAATCAATACTATATTCTTAATTTGTTGGTGAAATATAGCTAGTTGGCAAATAAGCCCTAAGATTTTTCACTTTAAATTTTTTTCTGTTTGGAGGAAAAATGATTGACGCTGATGTGGATCCAAAACATAAGTCTTTATAAACATCTTTATGAACCATTCACATAAGTTGATGAACTATTCAGAACTTGTTTATGAACTCTTCAAAATTATGGATTGTGAACAAATAATAATTAAATCAGTTTTAAAATTCATTTTTGAAATATTTCAGAAAATTTTATAATTCTTATTATTGATGAGCCATTCAAGAAATAAATAGGAGTTATTAACTAATTTACTAACAATTTATATAAAAATATTTATTTATAAAATATTACTGATCTCATAAATCTCTTTATCTGGAAAATGTGAATATTATGTAATTTTGATTTGGTTTAAATATTTTATTTTTATTTTTATTTCACTAGAGTTGATTTTACATTTTATAAAAATAAATTGTAATTTATATTATATTATTTTAACTATGTATCTTATCATCTAGTGTTAAATATGCATATATTTAAATATGTTTTAGGATAGTTAAATATTTTAAACTGTTCAAAATAACTTGTTAATTAATATAATGAATCGATAAATTTAAATAAAAATTTAATCGTTTAATCATAAGAAAATTGAGTACTGTTATTTAAATTATTTTGTATTTGTTGATGCACACTTACAACTAATTTTGATTATATATATAAAATATGATATATATGTTGTTGTAAAAAATATATTTATAATTATACTTATTCTATTTTAACTTTTATTAATGTGATATATATTAGTATATGAATTATTAATATATTTTAGTAGTCATTTGGAAAAAAATAGAAGATGGTGTCATTTTTTTAACTAGTTGTCATTTTTATTGACAAAATTATTTTTAAAATATTAAATTTCAATACTTGAATTCTTTTAAAATATTGATATTTTGATATCGACAAATACATTTTAAAATACTGATCCATAATATGCTCTAATCAACTAGAATTGGAAATGAAGTTTTATTAGAGGGCTAAAACATTATATGTGATCACAAATTTCTCACACATTCACTCTTATCTTTGAAAATACTCAACTTCTCTCACCTGATATAACCAACAAACAAAGTCTGTAACAAAACAACACCAAGAAAAACAAGACAAGAACCACAACTACCTGAAACCATGTCTTAACCACAATCAAGAACCTCATTAGTTCAATTAAGCGAACTAAGAAACTCAACCCAAATATGTTCTGCTCTCTTGGTCGTCTCAAGAGCGAACTCCTCAGCAGCTTGCTCGTCCTTAGCCTTACGCACAGCCACATGATACTCTTCATAAGCCTGAGAAGCCTCCTTGAGAAGCCGTGCTAGATTACTCTCCGTTGACTTGAACTTAAGATCAATGTTAATTTTCTCCGCTTCAAGCTTAACCAACAGTTTCTTGATGGCAAAGATTTTGATAGACAACGCGTCTCCCTGATGAGCAAGAGTCTTTGCAAACGCGAACTCTGCGTCCACGGCTCTCTGCTTCTCCAACGCGGTTTCTTTGAGAAGCTTAGCACGAGTTTGAGCGATGTGAACTCTCTGAGAAGCCTCGAGTCCTTCTTTAATGACGGTTTTGTATTTGGCTAGCAAAGAGATGTAACCTATTGAAGCTGAGCTGAGTACCTCGTAACGTGTACCTGCTTCTATAATCTCGTCGAAGTTGGGATGGTTTACAAGATCACGTGCGCTTAGACCTCTTAGCTTCTTTAGGGTTAGCTTTAAGCTCTCTATGTTCTCTGATTCGCTTGTGGTGGAAGTAACTGAGACAAGGACTGTGCCTCCCTTTGAGGTTGTTTCTTGTCTATGAGTGTGAACAAGATTGGTCAATGAACTGGTGAGGCTAGATGTCTCTGAGCCCTACCAAAGCACAAAAATCAAGAAACTGATTTAGATATGAGACTCCTTCCATTTTTTTTTTCAAAGAAAAAAATATAGATAACAAACCTGGAAGTTTGATTCTTCAGCAAGTATCTCCCCTATGTTAATTGAACAATCTGTGTCTACCTTAAGACCATCTTTGTCTTTGTTAAAACAACCACACACACCATCTGCAAGAAACACAAACATAGAGATGACAATTAAGAGTAGCTCTCTTTTTAGTTTATTTGGTTAAGAACATTCACAAGAAATGAGCTTTAAAGCTAACCTGTAGACTTTAGAAGACTGCTAAAACCAGCTGTGGAGAAAAACATATAAACATTGAGATTAGTTCCATTTTAGAGAAATGTGTTTTGTGAGAATCTGTGGATTACTTACAGTTGGATCCACCAGAAGTTTTATGCACTGTACTAATGGTTTGTGTATTCTTTGCAGCTGCTGCTGTGAAACAAATGTTAAGATCTGTCTTAGACAAAAAGTATTAAAACATGACATAAACAGAAGAAGTGGTTTCTTACAGTATTTTCCAGAAGCCTTTGCACTTGCAGCTGCTTGATATTCACGTTCGATTTCGTCCAACATACTGCTTCTCTCAGTTTCAACTGTTAAAAGGGAAAAAAAGTTTTTAAAGTTTATTTCAGAAGGCTTTAAGAGGAACATAGGTAGCAGATTCTTATTACCTTGTGCTTTATAAGTATATTCTACATGGCCTCTTGTTGCAGCTGAAACATGGAACAGGAAAAAAGAATACATAAGCAAACATGGCCAAGAATGGTTCAAGTTTTCTTCAAACTCAGAGAGGGATATGTGTTGAAGTACCTTCAAACTCGCGTTCAATAGCATCAAGCATACTTTGTCTACTTGCCGCTGTAACAAAACATGGATACAAATATCTGATTCAATATATAGATTATAAACAAACATGGAACATAGTTTTATACAGCTGTAAGGGTAGAGTTGTTTACAGTGTTCATCATGATCATTGCCTTGGGTTGAATCACTAGCCTTCCGCTCTCCAATACTTTTTGTAGCAGCTACAAGTAAGAACATAAAACATAATTTAAATTATCTAATTGATTTTGACCCAAAAAAAAAAAAAAATTATCTAATTGATATTTTTTTAAAGGATTAGCATTCAGTATGAAGTTCAATGTTATATGAAATTAACCTTCAAACTCGCGTTCTATAGCTTCAAGCATGCTATTTCTCATTGCATCTGTAACAAAAAAAAAAACAAACCATTCTTCAGAATACTATGGAAGATGCAATGTGATCATAAAAAGTAGATGGACAAGTTATTACTTTCTGCAGTGTTATCTCCTTGAGTGGAATCTTCAAGGTTTAGTTTCTTAAGACTACTTGTAGCAGCTGCAAAGTAGTTTTGGTAAAACAGAGGAAATGATTTCAAAATTTAATCTAGGAACCACATAAGAGTTTATTAACATGGATACTGATATGTTGAAAGTACCTTCAAATTCACGCTCAATCTCATCCAACATACTTTGCCTCTTTGCAGCTGTTAACAAAGAAAACAAGACAAGTCTGAGACTAAAACACCAAGAAATGTACAGCAACAGTCAAATAGGTTCAAATGAGGATATTAGTTTACATTGGTCTCCCTCATCTTTGTTCTCAGCGAGATCATCAAGCTGTTTAAAGCTATCGGTAACAGCTGCACAAGAGGAAACACTCTTAGAACTTCTTGAAACCAAGAAAAGAGTTAAAGATGCTGATTGTAGTAAGTCAAGTTACCTTCAAATTCCCGTTCAATTGCATCCAGCATACTCTGTCTTTTGGCAGCTGTAAATAAGACATAACATATATCTATTTCAGAAACTTGTGAGGGACAAAAAAAGTATCAAACTAGAGATGAGAGTTTCTTACCTTGTTCTTTATCATCATCTTGGACAGTGTGAGCATTAATCTTTAGCTGTTTAAGACCACTTGTAGCAGCTGCAAGTAGAAGAAGATTAAACATAATCTTTACTTCTAAGAAGTCTCACCACAAAGAATGTGAACCAGTTAGGAGTATGTCAAGATACCTTCAAACTCACGTTCGATCTCATCTAGCATACTTGTTCTAGTTGCAGCTATAACAAGACAATGAGATCTATCAGTTCTCTAATTGAGAATGATGTATCATGAAATGTAAGGAAAGCAATTATTACAGTGTGATGCATCATCTGTGCTTGAAGTGGAATGCCTTAGTTCTTCAAGACCTTTTGTAGCTTCTGAAAAAACAGAGGATAAAAACAGAGTCTAAGATGGTTTCTTAAAGAAAAAAAATGAAGATACTGGTTAAACACTAAGGGTACCTTCAAATTCTCTTTCAATATCTGCCAACATCTTCTGTCTCCTTGCAGCTATAAACAACACACAAAATCTGACTCAATAATACTGTAAATATCAAACAAAGTAACAATGGGAGATTTCTTTTTACCATGTTCTGCATCATTGGCTCCAGTTAAATCATCAGCCTTTAGAAGTTCAAGACCCTTTGTAGCAGCTTTAAGTTGGTAATGAAACAGAAGACACAAACTAATTGTTAGTAAACATTTTTCAGTATCAAGTAATTTATTTAACAGACCATGTCAAAATACCTTCAAAATCACGTTCAATCTCATCCAACATACTTTGTCTCATTGCAGCTGTAACACAAGAATATAAAAACAGAGAACTTGGACTTAGAATATAGACAAATATCATATCAAGTACTAGAGGAAGAATGTGTGTTTTGTACAGTGTTCATCATCTTTTCCTTGAGTGGAACCATCAATCTTGAGTTTTTCAAATCCAGCTACAGCAGCTGCAAGTAATTATCAGATAATGAAATTAAAACAAGAACCAAAAGTCAGAACATGAATCTATCAACAACATTTGTATAAAAAACTAATGTGAAGCTAGACAGAAACATCTAAAGGTACCTTCAAACTCGCGTTCAATCTCTTCCATCATTTTCTTCCTCTGAGCAGCTAAAACTACAAATGCAGCATAAGAAACACTCTTTTAGAAAAAAGGGTTCTAGATGAAAGAAAAAGATTATTTGTTTCTAACCAAGTTCTTCATCATCCTTAGATTCATCAACTTTGTTGATACCATCAGATCCAGCCTTCTTAAGCTCATTGATATGTGCTGAAATCAAGTAAAAACCCTTCATGTCAAGATTTTGATCCATATTCAACTCTTAAGAAAAAACAGAGTAAATGTCTTGACTTGCCTTGGAACTCAAGTTCGATATGGTCCAACATACTGGAACCTTGAACGCCTTCATCAGTAACAGCTCCTACCTATAGATCCAAAGTAAGAGTTCACTACTTTGCAAAGAATCTTTAGATCATAGTCATCCTAAACCAACATCCAAATCCAAACAAGCTAATCAATAAAACAGTAAGTGACCTGAGACGAGGTAACAGTAGAATCTTTAAGGGTTTCCACCGATTCTTCCGATATCGACAGAGAGATAGTCTTGTTAACCGTCACTGTACTGTTTTTCTGACCACCAGCTGATGATTCCATTCACAACAAAGAGATTAATTGTCTAAGTAATTTGCAGAAAAAGAAAAAAGAAACATGCAAGAAATGTCTCTTACATTGATCTTCTCCTTCGTTGCCTTGAAGAGACTTGACATTATCTGCAACCAAATATCATTGTTATTTTACAAGATTTTGTGTTCATATAAGATATATTAGTTTCTTCAGTTTTGACCTAACAAAAACTATAAGCTTCTTCAGACAATATGTCGTAAGATTACCTTGGTATTCACGCTCGATTAGATCCAAACTCAAACCTGGAGTTCCTTCATCCTACACACACCAAAAGTCAATGCGTTTGAAATTAGTAATATATATATGGTTGAAGAAAATATGTTTTGTGTATGACGTACCTGGCAAGAAACTTCATAGAAGCTTGAGAGGACAAGACACAAAGACAAACCCAGAGCTAAGAACTTTGTTCCCATGGCGTAAAAGTTGTTATCACAAAGATCAAGAGATACACTGTGTTGAAGCTTGAGAAAACACATAACAAGACTTTAAATAAAAACCAAGTTAACAACTCAACGTGGTTTTTTTAATTTAATAATATAAATTCACGTGGCTTTTAATTTATATATATTCCACGTTCCTGCTGCTTACGAGTTAGTCAACGCTCATGCATTATGCTTATCCAATATTACACTCTTTATAAATAACAGTTTTATTTTAGGCTAATATTATAATGTAACTTACTTATTTTGGAAGAATAAAGATAAAAGTTAAATTATGAATCAATTGTGTTCTTAGTTCCATTGGAACACCCCATTAGAAACAAAATACAGAGAGACATCATGGGATAACATTTGAAACAAATTTAATATTACATGATGTAGTTTCATTTTTTTTTTAAAAGGGCACATGATGTAGTTTCAGATTAGAAAATTTTTAAAAGGTAAATTTTGGAAAAAGAAGATCCATTAAAAATTATAATGTAACTTACTTATTTTGGAAGAATAAAGATAAAATTTAAATTAGGAATTAATTGTGTTCTTAGTTCCATTGGAACACACCATTAGAAAAGAAAAAGATACAAAGAGACATCATGGGATAACATTTGAAACAAATTTAATATTTTTTTTGAAAAAGCCAAATTTAATATTACATGATGTAGTTTCAATTTTTTTTAAGGGGCACATGATGTAGTTTCAGATTAGAAAATTTTTAAAAGGTAAATTTTGGAAAAAGAAGATCCATTAAAGCTTATTACATTTAACATCCATGTTAGTATTATATAAAAGAAAAATTATCCACGTTCTGGGAACTTCTTTGCTTATGTAAATCAATAATGCGATGATCACTACTACCAAATCGTATCTTTTAGATAAGCACGGATATTATATATTTACTATGTCTGGCGATCAGTACTTTATAATTCACTCATTGGTGGAGAAATGTTTACAGGTATAGAATAATGTTAGCGTGCAACATGAGATAATAAAATACATATTATGGAGTATATGATTATGCATATGTAACAACACATGTGTCGGCCTTAACTCAATCATCAACATTAGTATATTTATAAATGAGAGCATCAAATTCAAAATCGGCATCTCAAAACGTGGACTAAGATTTCTATTTTACTTTTTACAGATCAACAAGTTTTTAGCGCATACTATACATACAATCTATCTATACGTAGAATTCCTAATAGAATTTTGTCCCTTTTCTTTTTTTGGTTAAATAAAATTTTGCCCTTGATATCTGAGTTATTTATAATAATATGTCATTGCTATTTAAAATTTTCATTAATAATTAGAATTAACCAGATTTTCTCCTTTTATTTTCTCCATTTAATTAATTAAGCTTCCTTTTCATAGTTTAATGATTTGGAAACATATATTCATTAGAAAACGTGGACCGTCATATTTTAATCTTATTACAAAATGTCAACTGAACCATCTTTACTTTTATAACTAGGATAAAACCCGCGCCTTACGCCAGATGAAACTATTATTTTTATTATGTTTTGAAAATTGAAACAATAGTTTGGTTTCATTCGGATTAGAAGTGTTCAATCCGGATATCGTGTTTCGGTTCGGCTCGATTTTTTGGTATTTCGATCATTAAAATATAACTACTATTCTAAATCTATATGTACTTTAGTTTGATTTGGTTTATATACCATCGGTTTTCAGTTTATTCAATTTTATACCAAAAAAACATAATTATTTAGTTTGAGATCATATTATATATTATACAAATATATAATATGATTATATTTAGAGTCATATTGTCACAGAGTCATTTATTAAAAAAGTATTATATATTTAAATAAAAGAATAAAAAACAAAAATGGCTTCTATCATCTAATAATATGATCAAATCTAAAAAAACAAAACAGAAGCATGAAAGAAAAGTTTTTATATTCTTCCATATATAGTGTTCATCAAACCAATATGTCTTCGATTGAACACAACTCTGTTTGTTTAAAGATAAAAAAAAAGTTGTAAAGAATTTCAACTAATTGTTCTCCATCAAATTTATAATATTTACTTCAATTTAGTTAGTGTTAAAAAAGCAAAAGATCAAAATAAGAAGTTTCAGTTGTAATAAATTGTTAGCTATTTACAAATTATAATTATAGTTCAACTCATGTAACAAATATATATTCAAGCGTCGTTATAAATATATACATATTTACATGTTTCAGTTTAATCGGTTATAAATCAAACCATATGCAAATCCTATGGTTTTTATAAAGTCACATATATTCGGTTTGTATGATATATACCAAAAATAACCATATTATCGATTGTTAATATATTTTAAAAATATAAAATTAAAAAAAAGAACTAAGATATTTAAATCATTGATAACAAAAATTTTCAGTGTGAAAAAATTAATAAGTTTATAATTTATAAATGTTCTTGAAAATTTATTGAAAATTTTGAAATTAAAATATTTATGTAATCTTATATGGTATATAGTTTAATCTGTATATATATTTATTTTATTATTGAATGATACTTTTTACTTATATGGTTTTAAAATCATGTATATCTTTTTATAATAAAAATGTTAAACTATTGATCATTAATTTTTAACATAATAATTTTAATAGTTTAGTTATTTATCCTCGTTTTTTAAAATTCAAAATATAACATATACGAAAAAATCTAAAGTTTAATTTTATAGCTAATTTGATTGTTTAATTTATTTTAATAATATAAAATTAAAGAAAAATGATGCAGGATATATAAACTGTTATCAAATATTTATTATTATAATCATTAAGTGTCATATATATATATATTAGTCATTTATGGTAATTTTGTAGGTTTTAGTTATGGAAATAAAATAAAATAGTAATTATATCTAGGGGAACAATCATTAAGTGTCATATATATATTAGTCATATATGGTAATTCTATAGGTTTTATTTATGGAAAGAAAATAAAATAGTAATTATATATAGGGAAACAATCATAAATGCTTCTATCATAAATATTATATCATATCATCATATCATATAATTTGATCAATGAATGTATCTAGCGACATATAAAAATCGAATGTGGACCTACTTATTTTTGAATTGAATGTAATTGACTACCTAATTGAGTGACACCTAAGCATGAGATCTTTTTTAATTATTACAAAATTGAGGTTACAATTTTTTAAATGTTTCTCCTTTTAATATATAAGGGATTATATTTAGATCCAAAATGTGAATAAACTCAACTGAACCATCTTTACCTTTATAATTTTATTTAGATCCAAAATATGAATAAACTCTTATATACATAATATGTTAAGAATTATTATAGGTGCAGCTTAAGAATCTAAACTCCAAAGACACAAAACCTTAACCATATCGCATTTTATTTAAAACAATTTAAAAATGGATTTATATCTATAATATTAAAGTATAATCATTCAAAGGATTATGCGGTTTGATTTCGGTTCTTAAGATATTAAAATTTTGGATATGTATGAGTATTTTATCAGTTTCAGTAAGGATTCAAAACTACTTAATTAACAAAATGTGATCCTCATTTTGTTAGCATTCTCCTTTTGGAAAAAAAAATATACATTAATAAAATTAGGTTCAATCATTAAACTTTCTTTTCATAATTAGCTAATCTATTTTTTACTTTAAAATTGATTCTTAAAAAACATTAAGCTATAATAATTACAAATTCGCATTAAAAGGTTAAAAACTAATTTCAAACATCAGAATGCAAAATTTGTCAATTAAATACTTCATACTAATATTTTTTTTTTGAACATTAGATACTCAAATATTTAATGTAAATGTTAACTGAAAATATACACTCGTTTAAACAATTTTTTCTCCAAAAACGTAATCCCGCAACTTTTAAGCGCATGTAAAAAATTCTAGTGTTTGTTTAAAGTACTTACCCATATGAAAGGGTAATATAAGATCTATAAATATAAGTGACGTTTTAGCACATAGTATACATACAAGTCCTATGTTTGTTTTAAAGTACTTACCCATATGAAAGGGTAATATAACATCTATAGATATAAGTGACGATATTGATATGGTTGGAGTTTAATAACTTCAACTAGACACATCCCTAATCATACAAAATTTCATTGTAATACTAATGAAAAGTGAGCCTGAAAGAGTAAAACTAAACTTACTGAGAATGAAAGTTGTTATCTGATTTAAACTAAACAAGTTAATCAATAATTTTTCAAGTGACTAGTGATAATTCAAATTAAAATGATCAAATGAAACTTACAATATAATAACAACAAGTAGACAACGAGTTAAATACATTAATACCCGCTTAGTTTATAAAATAATCTGGCTCAGCTAATCTGTATTAAGGAGATGATGTAAATATGGTAGAATAAAAATACTTCAAAACCATGATGACATATATATCTTTAGCTTTGAATTGATAAAATAAGTTTATTGATTTAGTTTATATTGATGACATTATTCAATATATGATCTCAGTTGAAAACAAATGTAAAGCCAATTTTATTGTAATGACAGCGAATTATGAAACATAAACAAGATAAAAAGTATGAAAACCAAAAGAGAAGAGAACAAGAAAAAGACAACGTTTGTCTTAAGTAAGAGTGTTGAGAAACTGAACCCAAACCACATCTGCCTTCTCAACAGTTTCAAGTGAATATTCATAAGATGCTTGCACCTCCTTCCACTCACGCAAATCCACACGATGCTTCTCATATGCTTGAGACGATTCCTCTAGAATTCGTGAAAAATTCTCAACAATCTTCTGAAATTCAATCTCAACTTGTTTCTTCTCAGCCTCAAGCTCCAACACTGCCTTCTTCATGGCGAATATTTGAACGGCCAAATTGTCTCCTTTCTGAGCCAAAGCCTTGACTAACTCGAACTCAGCGTCCACCTTTTTTTGCTTCTCTATGGCCATGTTTTCATGCAATATGACATGTTGGTGTACAGTTTTCACTCGCTGAGAGG